TTACGCTTTATTATGTTTTTGCTATTCCAAGATGTGATCCGAGAAGGGGATTTCTCATTGAAATATAGCAATTATGCTAGTTTGCAAATATAGCAATTATGCTAGTTTGTATGCTTTCGTCTGGAATAAGCCAAATTCCCTGCCGTGGATTTTATAATACAGAGAATTGTTATGCATTGAGAAGTTTTTCATTTTGCTTAATTCTCCAGGCAGCCCCTCTAGTTCTCAGTAAGAAATTTATAATGGGGGACGTACCTGAATTTCTTTGCGTTGCCTGAATCTCTCAAGAGATGGGAACAATTGCGCCTTCTCTCGCATTGATGGCGGGGTAAGAGGATAGCGGACTGAGAAAATCGCCGAATGCTTGTTACCTGCTCTATGTTCGATTTTGATATCATAGGCTTGATATAGCAATCTGGTATTTGCTAGGTCTTACCAACCAAATCTGCCCTATGCATTAGGCGAATTTAAACGCCGTGGTCAGTAATACATTATTTTTTGCCATTGGCTACGTAGGGATAGAATTGATCAGCGCAAAAACTATCGTCGAAGCTTCTAACTCAATAACTGCGTAATTCTTCTCATTTTATTCATATGCGCGACTGCAGTATTCTAATAGGGTGTTCTCCTGCATCCTTTTACTGTATTGAAGCAGACACGCGCTAAGCCTGTGGGCGATGCACCCGTAATGTATAATATAAGGTTCCTCAAATGCAAGAGAAGCTAACAAGAGTGCTTCAACTAGGCTTCCTTCAGAGCAGAAACGCTTGTTCCTGAGCCTCACTCCACACAAACGGTGTGTTTTTTACTGGGAGATTGTTAAGCGGTGTATTATATTTGAGAGAAACGCGGTAAAATAACGTCCAAAAAGATGATGCGGGTGCTAAAAAGAATGAATTCAACGCTTTCACGTCCACTGACGTGGATCTGAGGCGCATACTCGCGACTTTTATTGGGGTTAGGGCGAGTTACGTTTTGCTGATCTAGAACTCCTAGGTATTCGATTCTTGTCTGAAGAACGAACATTCCTCTGGCGACAGTTTCATACGAAAGTTTCTATACGTCTTGAAAATTCCTCTAGGTGTACTAGGTGTCGATTGACCGACTGACTTGCAATTATTACTGTCATCAACATAAGCAAAACAACATGCACTTCTATTCCTAGATTAGGCTGTTCACTACTCTTCTGAAATGTAGCTGGGGCAACTTTGTAGCCTGGAGCCGTCACCGTGAAATTGGTAAAGTCCCAAAAAGGAGAGAACGCTGTGCGTTCCTTATGCTTCTCCAGTAAAGGAATTTGGAAAACCCCACTCTTGAAATCAAGAACTGAATAAACTTCTTTCCCGCCTGCAAGGTCTAAAATGTCTTGCATGTGGGGATACAGTAAGTCTCAGTTTCAGTTATCGCATTTATTCGACGATAATCCACAGTGAATCGCCATTGGTCTTTCTTGGGACCCTTTTCAACCAATACTAATACTAGGGAAAGCAAATTTGGTAGTGCTCGGTTCTATGATGCGCGTTCTTAGCTTTTTCTTATTTTGGCGTTCTACTTCCTTCCGTTGTTCCAGCGGCACACGATATGGTCGCTGTTTGGTGTTGATGGGTGGGGTACGAAATTTATCCATTGTGTAATGGGGTCCGTATAACGATCAAGGTTACCATCATTTCCTACAAAACAATCCTGGTATTTATTGAATAATTTATAAAATTTGTGGAGTTGATATCTAGAATGAAACTATTGAATTTAATTTGACTTTGAGCTGTTGCTGGTTACTCTGTATTAGAAAAGTGAGGTGGATTTTTGGCAAACCTGCCCCTGGAGGATGTATTCGAGGGTTCCACCATGTGTTCGAGGATATTGAGCGGGTCATTATTGTTGTAGACGGAAAATACTGGGTTTAAAGGCATGTCACTCCCACAAAAGCTGGTATATATTCAAAGCTCGATTCATAAAATACCTGAATACATGGCTTGAAATACTCTCCTGTCGGTACTTTTATAAGTGTATAAAAGATAACATGTTCTTCTCCTCGATTAGGGAGAATGAACTGCGAAACAGAAGATTTCCATGAATTGGCAGGCCAAATATGAAAAGAAAAGGGTTGTATTGATGTAATATTGAGATCAGATCGAAAATGTTTGTAAATGGTAACTGAAAATACTAGAAATTGAACAATTCCCCAGGAATTTCGTCTAAATTAATCTGCCTACAGCTCAAGTTTCCAAGGAATACGGTTTGATAGGCGAAATTTGGAGCCATTGCTCGCGTTCACTTCCTTATAGTTGTTGTATTTTACACAAAATATTTAACGAGTTCAGAAAAACTAGGCTACTAAAGAATTTCGGGTAGGCCATGTGCTGAGTCTTGCTCGTTTTGCACAGCACTCGATTGTAAGATGCGCCTTATTGACATTCCCAGCCGCAGCCTAGTGAGTTTCCATTGTCATAATCTTTTTTGAATTCTTTACTTAAAATAAAGTTGAATTTTCCTTCTTTCTTGCTTTTTAGACACCTTTGTACCTTCCCAAAATTTTTATTATGTCCTTCGTTTCATTTTTCAAAGATCTGGAAGAGTTAACATTAAATTTTCTCAAAAAATCACTTTTCGTGGTCTGGTATGATTTATTTGGGCGTGGGGTATATGTAGGCGCGTGTTGTTTGCGGCTGCACGCAAAACAGTCATTGTGGCGCGCTCGCGGGCCATTCAAAATTTTCCGGCTGCTAATCTAGTATTACGGTTACGGTAATCACCAGTCTGAGTGATTGCACAGAAGACGTTCAAATAAGACATTTTGAAGCAGAATCGGGTATTTTTTTTCCATTTTCTTCTGTTTTCTCGCCAAACTTTCCTTGTTTTGCGGTGAACTTGCTACTCAGAGCTGGAGCTAGTCAATTCTTTCATGCCCAATATCCAATTTATAGAAGTTGGCAGTCTTAGGAGCGTGCAATGTTGGTTCCCTCTTATCCGCTGAGAAACAATAAAACAACGCGCTTGCCCGAGCAGCGTTGCGTAATTAGCACCGCTATCCATTACAATTGGACTGGCGTGTGTGTGCTCTTCCTGTCGGTCAACAGATTAGGTTATCGCCAGAACGGTTGCGCAATTTGTATCTGCTCGCTTGTGCCAGGTTATTTGCGAAATGTGTTTTCTGCCAATGCCTGGGCGTTTGACGCACTTATTCGCATGCGCCCACTATGGATTAGCAGAAACTTTATGGCCTTCCCAAGTATTGCATTGCTTACTAAACGAAATAGTTTAGTCCTACGCACGGTCCTGGGCATAGGTTTTTCACGAGGATTTGCAGTTCTGTTAGTGCAATATACTAAGGGGGTTTGGGTGGGGTCGGGGAAGAGACGAATTCAAAAGAGATGTAATTTTTTTATGAAAAAATTCATGTTCCTTAGATAAGGTTGCTTCGAAAGTATGTAATGTTCAAAACATTAATCTCGCCGGGACCTCCATGTCAGATTACAGGTTCGCGACTTCTGTAACCTGAAGGTGTGTAGCGATGTTTCTGTCTACATAAGTTTTAGGCTATACATATTTATTATAACAACATGATAAAGGAGTAGGAAGGGGTGGACGAGAGTGGAGGACAATCGGGGAGTGGACCATCACATGGTGAGTACTCACTACCACTGTTCCTCTCGTATCGTCCTCCAGTTGCTGCGCCAGCTTCCTGCGATACCGTAATCTCGGGACACGCCCATCCAGGTCGTGGACCCGACACCTCCTTCCTCTCAAGTTGATGGGAATTTCAGTTTGTTGACGGAAAAAGTCCGCTTCTTCTCAATAATAAATTGAGTTCAACTTCCTACAGTGCATTATATCCTGAATAGTTCACGCTTTTGTGACACCCCCGCAAGCTATATGCCGGCAAAATCGCCTACGACCGCTTTTTTCAGGTGAAGCGCGTCGAATATGGTGGAGTCCGTAGCCGACTATGGCAATGCACTCAAACTCACGCCTGAATTCTCTTGTGGGCTACTTGCGCCTTTCTGAACAATCGTTATTGTTATAGCCTGCGGCATTGTGAGCGGTGCTCAGAAGGAGGCTGAAAGGATGCTCTGTAGTGGAGCTGGAACTTTCAGTTCATTTGAACCTTGCATATAACGCCAGACAAAATTGTTAGCTTGGGAGTATTTCTACGGGATTCTAGGATTTATTTATTCTGTCGGGCGATCCCCACCCACGGCATGCGTTCATGGGCGTGACCAGAAAAAATGGGCGTGGCCCTACAATTCATAATGTAAAATTACAATATCTATCGACTATGGTTGCTACTTACAGATGTGGCACTATGTCAGCACCATTTGAGCAGCACTTTCAGAGTTCTGATTGGATAACTCGTTCTCAAGAAATCCTCGAACTATTTGATAAAGTTTGCCAGGAACAAAGTGAAATTGAAGTTCCTGCGATAATTCTACGTGTCCTTTCCTTGTCCAGACGTTTTTTCGTCGATTTTCACTTCGGGACCTGTTTCAAGCCGTCACTTCGAATTCAGATGGTAGTGTAAATGGTGCACATGCTGCCCAACGTATTCATAAGAGATCGATTATTTCTAACAATAAAAGCCTATTGTCAGGTTTTTTTTCCAGTCCTAACAGTGTCCAATGCGACTTTGACATCCTCGTGTCTTGATGAGATTTCTGAAAAATTTTGAACTTTTTTTCCCAAAAAAATGAAAGTCTAATGATCCTAATAAGCTATAACACATCTAAAATGATACCGAGAAGAACGAGAGCACTCAAACAGAAAGTAGTTCGGATAACGCAAGACAACATTTATACAAAGACCCAAAATGATACGATGAATTGTGTGTAAGAATACTCGTAACAAATTAAATCACGTGCTGTTGTAGCGCTGCAGTAAACGGGGCAAACAAAAAAAAGAGATCAAAGTCACGGTCAAACAGTTAGTTGTATCAAATGGATAATTACAATTCAACAGTTCCTAGGAATAGCGAAAGTAACACTCTCTAATGCCAGCTTCAGTTGTTATCGTAAGTTTTCATTTCTGGAGAGGTTTGGTGCTCCATGGGACTTTTCGTTGGCTGCTCTTTCTCGTCCTTGGTTGAAAGAATCGCTAGACCGAAGTCGACCGCTGATTGCAATCACTACAATATTGAACAAGAAAATTACGATTTCGATAGCCGTCAGTACAGAGGCACCTGAAAAGCTCACTTTGAGAAAGTCTTTTCCAGTTGCATTTATACTATAGTCTGTACTCACCAAGCCACAACCCCATTTGGCCTCCGATATCCGACACGAGATTAACTATGGAATAAGACTCGGATTCGCGGAGAACTTCATAGCTCATTTGCTCGTAATAAATCTCCAACATGGCAGCGTGTTCACTGGAACACCATGGGTGATTAAAGACACATGGTACGCTCAAACACATTGAGGGTGTATGAGACTATCAGCCCTCCAGCTGTCGATGTGTCGTGTCCCCCCCCCCGCCCAAAACTGCACGGGGTCATAGTACGGGGCCGTGGGAAATTCGTAATTCCTTGCTACACCGCCCTCACGTTCATGCTAACACCATCCGCGCGGCGCGGTCGCGTGCAGCTCTCTTGGCTTTTTGCCAATTCCTGTAATTGCGCTTTGGAATACAAGTACTACACAGTTTCTTTATGCGGATAACATTTTAGGTGCTGCGAAATAAGAACCGAAGATGATGACAAGGGCTAGAACTCAAGAGCAACTGTGGTGCTTCTGCAATATCCCTCAGAGGCCGCGCATTCCCACAGAAAATGACAACAAAAACGGACAGCATGCAATTAAAACATGACAATACAAGCAAAATACAATTTCCTAACATTTGTGGTATTGCTCATGCTTCAAAGTTCGAACAGAAGGTGATGAAGATGACAAAGGCTAGAAATGAACAACAACGAATGTAGATGTAAATATTAGGTTGGGGGGAATGTTCTGTCATACTTTTTTGAACCAAGTATTCGCCTATTACCTGAAGAGGGCTAACTGATAATGTGAGCATTTATACATTAAGGATTGGTTTTTCTATTAGTGTTACTGGCTCGGCTCCTGCTCATCTTTATTCTGCATCATGGACAAGAATGTTATCAGCTACCCCCAGCACCGACCCCTTCAAGCGCTTCCTTGAACTTACTTCTTCTACCACCCTGGCGCCAGCATGGCAGCTGTCGACGCCGAAATAACGAAGCTTCACAAGGACAATGTCTACAGTCATCAGACAATCTTCCACGACGCTGGCTCTTCAGGCGGGAACCTACGGTGTGAATGACGAAGTGAGGTTCGGGAGTACCTGCAAACTCAGCTCTAGATAGCGGTGGGTCGGGAAACTACTGGATGAAGACGCTGCCTCCTCGGTCAATCCGCACGCAAGGCAGCTACGAGATCTGAAGCGAATCGTCAAGCAGAGGGCAAAATCCATCTGTCAGTCCGTCTTCAATGTGCTGGTGCAGCACAGCTTGTCAAAAAAAGTGAGCCGTACTTCATGCAATAAAGCTGGATAGCTCTCCCCTTGCACCGGTGTAGTCCAGACATTGCTCTTTCTGAGCGCCAGTCGCCTCCCGTATTCAACCGTTATACAGCCGAGAAAACCTCCACGACTTAAGCCCAAGTCAAAGTTGAGATGATGTCCAACTTTGCGTCGCGCCGGCGTGCATTGTTAAGCGATGGCATCCACGAATTGTCCAAAAACTGGCAAGGATCTCCCAATAACATTGCTGTAATTTTGATCTTGTACGCCTCTCTGTAAAAAGAAAGTCTAATTTGAAAAAATGTGACAGAACTTTCCCTCCAACCTAATACAACAAAGTTGAAAAAACTAAGGAAACGCAATAAATTAAAATCGCGTGTGCATTTCTGCGATCCGGCTCGAATCCGGCTCTAATGCTATAGAAATGCTTCAAAGTAACGAGTGGGACGCTTAAGCCGTTTTTATTTTGATGTTTTGTGGGAATGCGCGGCCTGCGAGGGTGTTGCAGAAGCAGCAGAGTTGCTCTTGAGTTCCAGCCCTCGTCATCATCTTCTGTTCCTATTTTGCAGAACCTTAAATGTTATCCGCATGAAGAAACTGCGTTGTACTTGTATTCCAAAGCGCAATTACAGGACTTGGTAAAAAGCCAAGAGAGCTGCACGCGACCGCGCCGCGCGCGCTCCGCCGACAGTGTTTAGTAAATAGCTGAGCTTTGCAACAAACGCGGGGTAGCAAGGAATTTACGACTTTTCCACCGTCCGTACTCTGAACCCGTGCAGTTTTGGCGGGAGACTAGCACACACATCGACGGCTGGCTGATAGTCTATACACCTCAGTGGTGTTTGCACCTGTACCAGGTCTTAGGGCTCTTAGGTGGGACATGTGGTGAAAGACAGGTGGCATATGGTAAAATGACCACAGGGAGGCAGGAACTCGCGGCGAATTTTTCATTTTCGCCACACATGCTCTCCTTTATCGAATTCAGACAAAGGAGCATGGTAAATAACTTGGCAAACGCGTACCGGAACAAGTCTAAGGCCACGCAGCCAGTAATGGGTGACAACGGCCGCTTCCGGATATTACATATTATTACTGATTATTACTGCAACGTTGAATAGTGGACACAACAGGATAGCATCATGCACTGAGACAGCAATGATGGCGGTGGTGGCACGAATGCAGCATCATGCGCTGCCCAGCAGTGATGAAGGTGATGACAAGGAATTGCAGCGCCATCGCACTGCCACAAGCAATGATGAAGGCGGTAACACGGTAATGCAGCACCATGCACTGCAACAGCAGTAGAAGATGATGGACACGGCAGTGCAGCACCATGCACTGCCACAGCAATGATGAAGGTGATGACACAGTAGTGCAGCACCATACACTGCCACAGCAGTGATAGAGGTGAGGACACAGTAGTGCAGCACCATGCACTGCAACAGCAATGATGGATCACCCCCCCCCCCCCCCGAAGAGGGTTCCGGTACGATCCCTTTCGGCTCCAGGTGTTGGCTTTGACGGGGAGACTAGATTCATAGCTATTTGCAGCTCGCGGGCGCGTTGCGATCGCAACGCAAAAAGTGCAGGAGCACAGTTGCCGGCAAAAAAAAACTGTGAGATCTTTCCCTGAAAATCACGATTTTTTTTAGTACGCATTGTTGGGAATCGGAAGGCGGCATGTTCAAGCAATGCATCAACCGTTGCGATTTCTTACAACACTCAATCCGAATCTTTCCCTTCGAGTCATATCGTGGATGGGTATTAGATGGTTTGGCAAGTCGCTCGCGAGTTTTTATGCTCTGAGCGACTATAACTTCTTTCATATGCAATCCCTGAGACTCCCGCTCGGGAGACTTTGAACTGCTTTTTTTCAGCGCGAAATATCCACTCCTTTTGTGCCATTGTAAGAATATTCGTTCGGAAACCTTAAACCCCCTCAAAATACATATTTTCGTCAATTTGAGTGAAAGTGTTTGGTTGTCATCGATCAATTTCGACCGAGTGTGCGCCGTGCATTACGCTCTTCAAGTGGTGGAGCAATGTAACTTGCAATGGTGAGTAGCTTCTTCCATGCGGGAAGATCTTTTTATAGCGTTTGGATAAGTCGATCCGAACAAACTTTGTGTTGAACTATTGTAATCCATCTACGCACTTACAAATTTATGCTCACCATTTATTAATTGATACTTTAGCACTTTGTGGTCTTCCACACACCCGGGTTCTCTACAGCTCTAGCTCCGCTTCACAAATTTTAGCGATGGCATTAGCGCACCGTTCGGTGTTCACCACGCACTGCTACAGTAATGACGAAGGTGATGACAAGGCAATGGAGTATGACGCACTGCTACGCTAATGATAGAGGTGATGACACGGCACTGCAGCATCGTGCACTGCAACAGCACGATGGAGGTGCGGACACGCCAGAGCGGCTCCACGCACTACTACAGCAATGATAGAGATAGAGGTGCGGACACGGCAATGCACATGATGTGCTGCAACATTAATGATAGAGACGCGAATACAGCAGCGTAGCACATACATTACCTTGGATGAGCAAAAGTTAGGACTTCACGATGCTGGTCATTTCGCATTGCTTGTTGGCTTGCATGAGAGTAATTTGCCAGTGTTTTTGGTGGTGCATCTTTTTTCTGAGCCTTTCTTGAAGTTTCGGATGAGGGCTAAATGTGGGGGCTTGTCACGAGGAACTGTTGTTTGGTCTAGTTTCCACTCGTTTGGAAATCGTAGACTAAAAGGAGGGGCTGCAATATGTGGGTGGATCTATCTAAAGCAGTGTTTAGGCAAGAGTCATATCACTAAAACATCAAAAATCAATATTCTTGCTACAAGACGATCAGTCTTACTTATAGTACGAGGTGCAGTCTTTTTCGTTGCATTCCATTCTCGTACTGCTGGACGGCCACTTCGCCGCTGAGTATGTGGTAGTATACACGTCCTGTTGGCAAGCATGAGTACATCTGCATGACTTCCGCTTGACCATTCGAATACTTTCAGCTGATAAACATTCTCCTGAATTACTTATGTTACGATTCCATACGCTGACATCAGAAACTAGGAAAACGAGCTGTGCTCAACGATTTGTTACTTTGTTAGCTTACTAATGGCAAAGTAGAGAAAAGACTTTGAAAAATGGGAAATCATGAAATGGGCAACATCTCAATCGGTCGATCCTTCATCTTTAGTGGACCCCTGGTGTCAGAGCCGTGTACACAAGATGAAGAATGGGTAAGCTGCAGTACTTACTTATAATGTCGTTGCGAATATCGCAATAATTTATTCTATCCGACGGTCTTGGAAATCGTGGATCGGCGCATCTACATTGATTGATTATTCTTTTCTGATAGCAGTTACGGTAACATCCCTGAATTGCATTGTTTCACTGTTGGAATTAGCATCATTGCAGCAACACTTACCTCAGGCTCATAAATGTAATCCCGGTAAATATAACCCAGTGGTAGCGGACTGTCAGCGTTGAAACAGCCACCGCTTGGCAGTCGGGTTACCTTTCTCTATAATAGCAGTCATTAGACCAAAGGGATAGTTCGAAATATCCATCAAGTCCCTTACAAGTGAAATGCCGAAAGACGATATGGCTCCGGTTGGAGCCGAATATCCGAATGTATCCGGAAAAGGGCACTCTCGTTGACTGTGAATTGTAATCCGAACGCCAGTAGATTCGGTTGTGGGTAGATAGTCCGAGGAGTTCACGAACACCATCAGACGTAACCCTACGAAATAACCTATGGGTTTCCTGGAATATTTTCACAAAGTGAATTGAAATGAGCATTGTCTCTCCTCGCAGGACATACAGTGTATAGAGGCAGTGCACACTAGTGCAGGGAGCGGGCGGGCGGTTGTCGGCAGCGTCGCTGGCGGAAGGGCTGAGTGGGGTGCAAGACGCCATCTAGCAGCCCTTCCACCAATAATGCTAGCAACAATCGTCCGCCTCCAGCAATCGTAGCCATTGCCTTCAGATGTTACTGGAGACAGGTCTCACCAGGGAGGTATCCGAGAAGAGTCTTACAATCCCAAATTGTTTTTTTGCTACGTTTTAGCTCTCAAGGAGATTACTCACCATAGCTAGGCCCTGCTCGACTACTGGCCAGCACTCTCTCAGGATTCGCATTGAAAGTATAGCAGTTACCAAACGACGGGTCAATATGTAGCCTAGGTAATCAGTATTCGAAGAATTTCATCACAGAATCAATTTTAACATTATTGATTACTTGAATTCTTTCTCGATATCGCACTGCATACTATTGAAAGAGCACTGCTTGATGAGCTCCGCCTTGCCATATCCCAGAGCAGCACGTCTTTGTGGTGGCAGGGAAGACATCTTCAAAATCAGTCTAAACGAGGAGTACAGCGCCTGCTCTTATGCTTTTCATTTTTGGGGGAGTGTGATCCATCTTCCCTTCAAAAAACCTCTCAGAAGATCTATCGATTTTTCTACGTTGTTCTCGCTACCACTTACGAGTTACTGCTATAAACTGTTGAGGACCTATAAAAGGTGCACGCGCTCTCTGGTCCATCTACAGTCGTCATCATTGCGGACCGGTGGGGCGTGGCAGTGCGGCTGCATTTGGTGCGGTTTGGCAAAGTCGTTCTGCACCAGTTGCGAAGCGGGCAAGTGACATTACTGTATAATATCCTTCGTATTATTCACGTTTTCTACCACTTTTTGTCGCATTACGCGTTTCAACAAAAAGGCTGAGAACGGTTCAACAGTGGTGCGCACTCCTTCTGGCTGACACGCCACCACCGGTCCGCAATGATGGGACTGTATCTGCTCATGTTTTGGCCAATCAAAAGTACACGATTGAAGAAAAGCCCCGCGATTGGGAAAATGGATAACAGCGTTCATAAAAAGCCTATAGTCGCTAAATCACGGCTAATGGCCGTTTGGACTCCAAGAATTTCGGCACCCAGCCATTTGTAAATTGGCCTAAGTCACCAAATCCGCCAAAAACTTGTATATAGGGGTAGTTAACATCCTGATTAAGAATATGACATTCACTTTTGTCGCTGGCGCCAAGAGAGGACACTAGGATCACCTCCTAGGCTCAGCCTTGGCAGAGCGCAGGTAATCGTAGTGTCATCCATTAGCGCAGCGACAAGAGCGAATGACATATTCTTTAATCAGGATGTTAAACTACCCTAATATACAAAATTTTAGCAGAATTTGGTGACTTAGGCAAATTTAAAATGAGGCTCGGTGCCGAAATTCTTGGAGTCAAACGGCATTAGCCCTAAAATCACTGCAGAGGTGAGGAAAAAAAGCACGAATCTGTAGATAAGACCCCAGTAAGGATCTGGCACGCCTTTCTGGACGAGTTACTCTCTGACCTGTTCGTTTGAAGACACTTCCCGCGAACATGTGATCCGCGGAATGCCTCCGTGCATTTTGGCAGCGCTTTCCGCACTGGCAGAGAAGTATATCCATTTTGTCACTCGAAATGGCAAGGTAAAAGGAAGGCAGAGGCGCAGTTCTGCCAGCACTGCAACCGCATATTGCAACTCTCCAAGACAACGTCTTACAAGCGGAATCCCATGTGTACGTAGCGCTGCCTGGAGCGTCTTGGGGGCGATTTCTTATGCTCTTGCCTAAAATTGGTTGCACACAGAATCCTGCAACTTGGGCTCGTCCTCATGATAAACTCGTCCAAGGCGCCGGCCTCACTGCTAGGGGCTGTGCTCGAGATGTTCCCAGTACTTTTTTCGCTTCTTTCTCTACTGATGAGTTTTTGATGGGCACCTGGTCATGATTGAGCACCTGCTACCTGTTGACCCTTGATCGCGGGAATTGACTTCAATTACAGCAAACCGATATCCTGCCGACTGTGGTTCAATTATTGTTTCCTTGCCAATACATTTTAGAAGGAAAGTTAAAGGAAAACGCGGTGTAAAAACTGAATTGGTGACAGGAACACTCTTTGAGTTCCGGTGGGCGCGACAACGGGAAGCGTTAGAAGTGGTACTTCTGAGAGCCGCAGCGCCTTCCTACTCATAGTGGGCGCAGTTCGGGAACGGAGGAGGCATTTTGTTTTATGATTGCTTCACTAGTTCCGGTTTACAAGTCTCACTCTGGCGAAACCTGTGCACTATTGTGAGGCTGGAGCAAGGTCGTCAAGCCATCATGGTGAAACCTGCCAACTTGAGAAGAGGCTGCCTAGATAGGTCGACACGTCGATGGGAAGTAGCAAACGTGCAAAATGCCCCCCCCCCCGTCGCCGAACTGCACCCGTAGTGAAGCCGCAAAAGCGGGATAATCTCATACACTGAGGGCCAGACTACTTGTACATAGAAGTAGGCCTACGCATTACTCGAGCGCGAGGACTGTCTCTGAGTGTTTGTATTGGCGTCGGTTGAGAAAGGTGACCATCGAGGATGGCAAGACCTTTCATCTTGGATGATCCCTCCCAGGATAATTCTTCAGGTCCTGATTCTGAGTCACAAAACCGATAATGGTTCATATTTCAAGAGGGATTTCGACTAGTTGACTGAGACAACAGGTTAATTGTGAACATTCTTTTCTCATATCACTAGCTTCGCGGGAATCTGTGTTGTACCTTTTCGACGTGATGAATACCAGAATTCGATCAATATTAACTTACTTTTCTTTAGCACGAGTAGTAATGGCTACTTGATCGGTCATGTTTCCGTAACCGAGATTCTTCAAATGTGCAAGGAAGTCGTCTCGAAATGGGCTGTCTGCTGATGGCATTTTCCTGCCTCGAAATTCCCATACACGCTTAAGCCGTTCCTCACTGCGTAGTACACAGTAACCCATCTTCTGAGAGATAAATAAATTAATTGCTGACGTAGTACTCAGGACTGCTGTGAATGAGCTAACAGAGATTACAATACATTCCCAGGTCGGAAAGACTGCACAGGTTTACTCACCACCTGACAAACACAAGGTATAGAATCATTGCCGGTGCTGTCCGGCACATTGCAGTATCCGATATCATTACATTCAGGACAGATAGTCTCGACCCATGTGCTAAATAAACCTGGTCAAAGAAATCTGTTCAATGCAGTACTATAAAAAGCATTATGATAAAATGCTTCTCAAATTACTGAGCATTAGCGTTTGCAGGGCATTAAAAACTTTCATGGCAAGAATGCGCGATGAATAACAGCTACCGTAGCCTACCTAATTGGTTTAATTACACAAGTACTTCTGATTGCCCATGTTAAAGTGCCTCTGGCATTACCTGATACTTTTCACGTCATTGACCGAGTAGCAATCCGACGGGTGGTAGCAACACTGGATCATTAATCACCTTGGTGGGGGCATGGAGCGTTTGTGGAGGTACAACTACGAATTCCATCTGCGCGAGGCTGCGCTGCGTTAAGACTAAGACGATGACGCGCATCTACGCGCTACGACGAGCTAGGACGCGCGTTATGGCGGAACCTGAATGGAGCCCAACAAACCATGCTCCGACCTTCCGCTTTATAACGGTCTAAGTTCAATTAAGCAACATCGAAGAAATCTTCCTACCTGGTGCTGTAGCATGGCCAAGTACTACCATCGTTCCGATCCAGATTGCAAATGCAGGCACTTTTCAAGTCGAGAGGTACACCATCATTCCCTACACATTCGGCATCTGGTCCACGGGTACAAGTACAAGCCGAGTAGACTGCCTCGTATTGAACGAAACGAAATCTCCCTGTAAGTTCTAATGTAAATGGCGAGGTGACGTTCCTTAGAAAGTAAATGTGATCCTTGAAGGGACGGCCTACCTCAGTGATAGCCCGACCTTCAAAGCTTACCGTGCTTGCTATCTCTTTTCCTTCTTTTGATTTCCTCATTATTCGCATTATTACTGTATGTGACTGCTTGATGAAATGCATCTAACTGAAAAAGGTTATCAAGTAGGGTGCAGTAAAAGAAAAGTAATTACCAGTAAATATTACCGTTTCACTTATCTCCGGGACGCTCCTTGCCAAGTGATTCTTGAACGGATTCAGGTTACAGACAGTAATGGCAGGAAATGGGGCCGATTCGAATTCTAACTGAAACGCTGCTGTTCAGCTAACCTGTCATGCACTGTCGAACATCACTTATATGTAGCTCTATGGAATTAGAAACAAAAGCGCGGGCCACAACATTCTGGGCTGCGCCACACTCTCAGCTCCTGCAGCTCGCTAGTGAGCTTGAATGAGGAGCACAGCGAATAGCCTGGAGTTTTAATAAACACTTTTGCGCTGTCTCTCAGTCTTGGTACCGATTAGTTGAACAAGTCGTAAGCTCATTCTGGTAGCTCCAGCTCCAGTATTAAACCAGGCTCCCGTGAATTTCGAAATCTCACATTCAAGGTAGATGAGGTATTTTGCACTTTGGAAGAGAAAACTTTGTACGACCGTCATAACACTTTGACAAGTATCACGATGGTCGTGCTCAACTTCAACAAGCTACTCAAGCTTTCGAGATTGTCAATCCAGTAGGCGGTAGGCGTCTAACACAATGAGTGACAGCTTTTGCCTGCACCCGCAAATGGATTTTATTGTCGGCAAGGCTTGAACCCATTTGTCGGGTAACTGCACTGACAGAACGTTGTTCCCGTTCATTTTGAGTCCACTGCAGAATAAAATGATTCGAAGGCGAGGCGCGGATTTGAAAAGCGAGTTGAACCAATTATATGAGCGCTGTGATATTATCCTTCACCCCCTGACCACCGAAGGAGACGGCCAGTAAAAATTGGCGCGGATGCCACACGCATGTTCTTAGGATTTTCCAAATGACTGATCAGAGGGAATGAACTGCATCGACGATACATGTAAAAACTACTGGACCTTATGGACTAGGCTGGCCAGCACGTCTTGATTGCATAGCACCCAAGCTCAAAATCCAGAAAAGGTTGAGAAAAAGAACATTCAGGAACTAGAAAAGAAAACTTTATGAACACTTACTTCTACATTGACAATTTTCTCTTTCTTCTGATACTTTTCGATTACCAGTAAACATTGGAAAACAAAACATATGAGCGAAACGGTGCTGAATATGATCCAGAAAATTCGTAGAGAAGGACGTGAAGTGTTGAGGATCTGGAATTATTGAATTTTCTTCTATACAATTCTGGGAAAAGCTGGTCACATTAGATGTGTGCACTGATGGGCTTTCGAGCTATTTTGAAGGGAAGTTGGCAACTATCAGCTATGAAGTAAAAATCGTCTCCAAACCTTTTGTTGTACTTGTATGTACATATTACACTTGGAGGTCCCTAGGTACCTATCATCACTGAGGTTTTGGACTATAAAATAGGCTGAAATATAGGGAGTTTGAGATTTCAGCATCCCTCTCGTTATCCAATTACATATGATTTGACA